TCACCCAAAAAGAGGCCGATGGTCGTCCACGCGGCCGGGACAGACGTGGAGATAACCAGGACCACGGGTAAACGGAGCCGGTCAGTGATTGGAAGCTTCAAAGATGGTCCAGAATCACTAAACCAGGTCTGCCGTGGCTGGTGTTTCTTCGGGTGACGGCAGTTCCGGTTAGTGGAATGGGGTGGGGGGGGCGTCCCTCGGTAGACATCGCCAAACCAGGTCCCACTAAACCTAGTCCCGCCAACGCCCGACAGAGGTTGACAATCAATTCCCTCCGCCCCTTTGGCAGCGAAACTTTGAGAACCCCTCCCCCAGACAGAGCCGTCTCTAGGCGACTAGCACGCCTAGCAGACCAGGCTGGAACAGCGAGCGAACTCGAAGCCCACTGAGTGGAACGAATCGCGCTTCCAGCTGAACTAGCGCATCGCACCAGCATCGAGGCGTTGCGACTAGCACGCCTGGCGGAATTTGAAGGCAAACCGTGTGTATACCTGTTAAGACAAACAGAGATAGGTTTGGGCATTTTACGTGACGAGCGGCGCCTCCATACGTACTGGGCAACCGTTCTGGGATGTCCACGTGCAGCCTTCGGGCGCGGTACCCATGTCTGTCCATCGGCAGGGATGCGCATCCTAGCTTTGGACATGTGGCGTGGATGTCGATGCCTGTCCACTGGCAAGGCAGTGGGTTCCACTACGGGAGGCCCCCTCCCCTTTTCGAAAGATGAGAGTCCCATGGACCTGTCTTTCAACCTAGAGCACCTTTTTAGAAGGAGCTGCCCTCCACCCCTCCGGCCAAAAAGTTCCACGGGCTAGGATCATACAGTTTGAGTGAATTCCCAGCGAGTGCCCGCTTTGGAAAAGGACTGCCCTCTATCTATGCAGCTGTCGCACATTTGTACGCGTCTAGGCATCACACGGTAGAGGTCTCGAGCGACGGTCCCGTTTTGAAAAGGACCCGCCCCATTGCGCAAGTGTGGCACCATTTCGAATTGGTGGTTCGGATTTTGGACGGACTCTCCCGCGAAAGCCCATCTTGAACAGATGCTGACGTTTATCTTTGCAGTAGTTGGATATGTTTTACGACGAATGTGCGCGGCTATGAGGCGATAGTCACATTTTGAAAACCACCCGCCTTTCGAGAATGCCGCCCATGCCGTGTCGTGCCGTGCTCGCGTTCAGTGCCATGTCCGCTTGTCGTGCTTGGTTTGGGGAGTGCAAAAAGATTCCGTGCCGTGCCATGCCAGCTTGCCGTGTCGTGCTAGGTTTCGAGAGTTCTAAACAGAGTTCTCACCAGATGCCTTTCTGTGCCGTGCCCGTATGCCTTGTCGTGCCGTGCTTGGTTTGGAGAATGCGAAAAATAATTGGACCGAGTAGCCGTATTGTGCCATGCCGTGCCGTGCACGCGTGCCGTGCCGTGTCGTTCCGTGCTTGGTCTTGCCTCTGTGAAACAAAGTTACCGTTCTGTGCCGCGTCGTGCTCGCGTGCCGTGCCGTTCCGTGCCTGGCTCCTGGAGTGCGAGAGGTTGTCATGCCGCGCCGTGCCGTGTCCGCGCGCCGTGCTGTGCCGAGTCGTGCTCAGTTTCGCGAGTGCGAATCAGTTGCCGTGCCGTGGGGTGCTGTGCCGTGCCCCGTGCCGTGCAGTGCCGTGCCTGGTCTTCAACATGCAAAAAAGGTGCCATGCCGTGGCGTGCTTGTCTTCGTGTGTGCGCAGACATTCTCGTGCCGTGCCATGTCGTGTCTAGGTCTCGGAATGCGAAAGAGTTGCCATGTTGTGCCGTGTCGTGCCCTATCATGCAGGGTTGTTGTTTGAGGCTTTTAGGTTGATGTAAGTGATAAGGCTGACGGATGGATCATGACGATGATGGCGATGGTAATGAGGAAAAAGGCGAGAGGAGGAGGAGGAGGAGGGAGAGGAGGAGAAGGAGGAGGAGGAGGAGGAGGAGGAGGAGGAGGTGTGTGGTGTTGAGAAGGACGAGGAGCAGGAGAATGCGGAGGAGGAGGGGGAGGAGGAGGAGCAAGAGGAGGAGGGGGCGGTCCAGGTCCGGCAGCATGTGGACGTCTCTGACTCCACGATCAACTGTTGTGATGCGGCGAACGGTCTGGTGTGCCTAGGCAGCAACGACTGCAAGGTCGTGGGCGCCGTCGTCGTCGTCGCGATCGCGGTCGTGGTCGTTCTCGTGGTCGTGGTGGTGGTGGTCGTCGTGGTCGTCCTCGCGGTGGTGGTGGTGGTGGTCGTCGTCGTCGTCGTCGCCGTCGTTGGCGGTTGGTCGTCGTTTCCGCAGTCGTGGTCGTCGTCGTCGTCGTCGTCGTCGTCGTCGCAGGCGGCGGCGGCGCCGTAGTCCTTGTCGTCGTCAGGGTCGCCAGCGTCGCAGGATTGGCGGGGGAGAATGGAAGATGGAGGGTGGAGGACGGAGGAGGAGCAGGAGGAGGATGAGGAGGAGGAGGAAGGGGGGGGAGGAGGAGGACGAGGAGGAGGGGGAGGAGGCTGAGAAGGAGGAG